GGAAATCTTGTGACTTGGAGAAGCAAAAAGCAGGGTGTAGTGGCTCGGTCCAGTGCTTGAAGCGGAATTCCGAGCCATGGCACAAGGTATATGTGAGTTGCTATGGCTTAAAATCATCTTAGAAGACTTGAGGATAAAGTGGGAAGAACCTATGAAGCTCTATTGTGATAATAAGTCAGCAATCGGTATAGTCCACAACCCAAGTGCAGCATGATAGAACAAAGCATATTGAAGTAGACAGACACTTCATCAAAGAAAAGCTTGATAGTGGCTTGATATGCACTCCATATGTGTCCTCTCAAGACCAAATTGTAGACATTCTTACCAAGGGACTGGGCTGCCATAATTTTGAGAAGATTGTATCCAAGCTGGGAATGGAAAACATCTATTCACCAGCTTGAGGGGGAGTGTGAGAAATCAAATAGTATTTTAGGAAAGAATAAATAAGGAAATTTGTATATTTCCTTGTAATCTGTACAGATTTGAATAATTAGGAACAATCCCATAAATCAAGGGATCCTAGCATAAAATAGAGTTATTATATTTCCTAAAATAGTTTAGGTCTCTTGTATATATCTTATATCATCTCTTTGTATTGATATAATAAAAATCATATTTCAGTTAATCTATTTTTCCAGACTTTCCATTCTTTGTTTTAGGCAGCCCTAAAATAAAGTTCATAGAAATGTCAGTCCAAGGATATTCAAGGTAAAGGAGTATACAACCCATGAGGCTTAACCTTAGATTTAGCCTTTTTACACACAATGCAGTGATCACAAAACTTATTCACATTACGTTTCATATGAGGCCAAAAGAAATGCTCTTGCAAAATTTCTAAAGTCTTTTGAACCCCAATATGACCCATCAAACCCCCTTCATGTGATTCACTCACAAACAACTCTCTAATGGAACACTTAGGCACACACAATTTATTTGCTTTAAACAAGAATCCATTATTCCTAAAGTAACCATTTTTGGAAAACCTTTCACATGCAGCAAAAGTTTCAGCAAAATCCACATCATGCACATACATGTCTTTCAAAGATTCAAGACCAAACAATTTAGTTTCAAGCATAGAAAGTAATGCATGTCTCCTAGAAAGTGCATCAGCTACTACATTCCCTTTTCCCTTTTTATGCTTGATGACATATGGAAATTACTCCAAGAACTCAACCCATTTGACATGCCTCTTGTTTAACTTACCTTGTCCCTTTAAGTATTTCAAAGATTCATGATCACTATGAATTACAAATTCTTTTGGTAAAAGGTAATGCTGCCAAGTTTGTAAAGCACACATTAAGGCATACAATTCCTTATTATAAGTGAGATAGTTTAGGGCACCCCCATTCAACTTCTCACTAAAATAAGCAATTGGATGACCTTCTTGTAGCAAAACAGTCTCAATACCCACATTAGATGCATCACATTCAATTTCAAAAGATTTTGCAAAATTTGGTAATGCAAGAATGGGGGCATTAGATAGTTTGTGCTTAAGTTCAGAAAATGCTTTTTTTTATTTTTCACCCCATTTAAACCCAACATGCTTTTTGACTATTTCATTAAAAGGTGCAGTCAAAGTACTAAAGTCTTTAACAAACCTCCTATACAAACTAGCTAACCCATGAAAACTTCTCACTTCACTCACATTCTTAGGGGTAGGCCACTCTTGGATGACTCTAATCTTTTCCTCATCAACTTGTACCCCTTTAGAACTCACAACAAATCCTAAGAACACAACATGATCAGTGCAAAAGGTACATTTTTCAAGATTAGCAAACAATTTTTCCTTTCTAAGCACATTCATGACAGCACGCAAATGTTCAACATGTAAATCAAAATTAGTGTTATATATCAGAATATCATCAAAATACACCACTACACATTTACCTAAAAACTCTTTCAAGACATGGTTCATCAATCTCATAAAAGTGCGTGGAGCATTAGTTAACCCAAAGGGCATAACTAGCCACTCATACAACCCATATTTAGTTTTAAAAGTTGTTTTCCACTCATCTCCTTCTCTAATTTTAATTTGATGATATCCACTTTTCAAGTCAATTTTAGAGAAGATACAAGCACCATACAATTCATCCAACAAGTCATCTAACCTAGAAATGGGATGTCTATACTTTACTGTGATGTTATTGATAGCTCTACAATTTGTGCACATCCTCCAAGTTCCATCTTTCTTAGGGACTAGAATAACTGGGACTGCACATGGACTCAAGCTTTCTTTAACCCACCCCTTTTGCATTAAGTCTTCAACTTGCTTTTGAATCTCCTTGGTTTATTGGGGATTGCTTCGATAGGCTGGTCTATTAGGCAATGAAGCTCCTGGAATAAGGTCAATTTGATGCTCAATACCCCTAAGAGGGGATAGACCTATAGGCTCTTCTTTGGAAAAAACATTTTCAAAATCCTGCAACAAAAAAGAAACCTCTTTTGGAAGAGAGTTAGTAAAACATGGATTGTTTGATTTACTTTCTTTACTCAAAAGTAAAAGTATTGACTTTATCAATTGCATAGCTTTTTTAACTTCTTTTTCTTTTATAAATAGATTTGATTTTTTTTCTCTCTTTCTCTTTTTCTTCCTCTTTTTCCTTTTTCTTTTCACTCTCTTTTTCTTTTCTCTTTTCTCTCTCTTTTTCTTTTCTTTCTTCTTTTCTTTTCTTTCTCATTTTTAGTTGATCCTCACTAACTTCTCTTGGAACCAAAGGTGCAAGAGTAGTTTTGCGGTCTTTATGCATAAAAGAGAACTTATTAGTGAAACCATCATGCATAACTCTCCTATCATACTGCCATGGTCTCCCAAGAAGTAAATGACAAGCCTCCATAGGCACCACATCACACAAAACAGAATCTTCGTTTTTCCCTATTGAAAAACCCACTTCAACTTGCCTATTCACGGTCATCTCACCATCTTCACTAAGCCATTGAAGTTTGTAAGGTCGCGGGTGTGGCTTAGTCTCTAAATTCATTTTTGAAACCAATCATGCACTAGCCACATTAGTGCAACTCCCACCATCAATGATCAAAGAGCACAACTTCCCTTGAATGAGGCACCTTGCATGAAACATATTTTCTCTTTGACAATCATCCAATTCAACTGATTGACTACCCAACATCCTTCTAATCATGAACAGATCTCCTTCTAACTCTCTTTCATCTTCATGCTCATTTTCATCCCTAGATGAAGAATTTGAAGAAGATTCACTAATTATTTCTCCATCCTTCTTAAGTAACATAGTCTTCTTAGTTGGACATTGAGAAGTTATGTGACCTCTTCCCAAACATTTGAAACACTTAACCTCACTACTCCTTGTTTTCTTAAGTGCCTCATCAGACTTATTTTGATTTCTATGAGCTATAACATTGGAATTGCTTGTTGATGATCCACCCTCCTTCTTATTTTTGTCCTTCCAACTAGGAGAGTGAAAATTAGATGAACTCCTCCTCATGACACCCTTTCTCTTTAATTGTTGTTCCACTTTAGAAGCTTGATGTACTAAATCCTCCAACTCAACATAATTTTGCAGCTCCACAACATCCCTTATATCACTATTTAGCCCATGTAGGAATCGGGCCATAGTAGCCTCCCGCGCCTCCATAACATTAGCCCTAATCATGGAAACCTCCATCTCTTTGTAATATTCATCAACACCTCTACTACCTTGTATGAGTCTTTGGAACTTGTTGTGAAGATCTCTTTGATAATGAGAAGGAACAAATCTTCTTCTCATCAACCTCTTCATTTCTTCCCAACTTTCCACCAAGGGTTCTTCATATCTCACCCTTTCCCTTTGTAATTGGTTCCACCAAATGAGAGCATAATCAGTGAATTCCATGGCTGCCACCCTCATCTTTTTATCTTCTGTGTAATTATGGCATGCAAACAGTTGTTCAATTTTTATTTCCCACTCCAAATATGCTTCTGGATCACTCTTTCCTTGAAAAGAGGGTATGTTCAGCTTTACTCCTTCAATTCTATTATCTCTAACATCACTGTCATTATTTCTCCTTCTCCTCCTTCTACCTCCACCATCATCATCATTTCCTTGATTTTCTAGTTGTTCAATTCTTCCATACAACTCCTCGGTATGTTCTGTCAACATTCTTTGCATTTGGGCTGTAATGGCATCAATCAATAATCTATTGTCACGCCCTAAAAGAGGGGTACCACCACCACCTGTACCTGCCATCTTTCAAGTAAAAAAAAAAGGACCAAACAAATGAAGTAATAGGACCTCACCACTCTTCTCACGTGTTTGCACTCAAAGATGTACCACTCGTGTTTACTCTCAATTTGACTTTTGTATAATATACACTCTTGTCTTTTTCCACTCGTTCTCTGACTTATGGTTCTTATAAGAATCAAACAATCTATAGTTCAAGAATCACTTTCAACTGTAGCAATCACAAGGAATAAAACAGAATTGTAGTACCAATAAAGGACAAGTAGTAAAAAACAATTTTACTACTAACAACAAGCAAGACAAATCTAAACTGTATGGGAAAACAAAGATTAGGCAAAGACGCATGACACTTAGGAATTTTATCAAACAGTTAATGTGCATTGAAATTTAAAGGAAGAACAACTGTCACGTATATATATATATATATATATATTTTTTTTTCTTTTCTGATTCGTTTGTTTTTTTTTTATTCTTTTCATTTTTTGGAACAGTACAACAGGGTTTTTTTTTAATGTTGTCTGTTATCAGTTTTTTTATATTTTGTTTGTCATCACTTTTTTCCTAGTATGTTTTTTATTTTGATAAAAAGGAGTAATTTTTATTAGAGATATCTCCAACACACATTAGTTGGATGTATTGTGTATGTATTTATATTAATAAATTAGATCAAGGATATCCGCAGTATGATTGGTGTAAAGCCAGACAAATAATACTCAGAAATTTCTTAGCAATTCTAACTTCACTTTCTTTAACTCACCCTTTGTCTGCATTAATATTGTTGTTTACTTGTTTCGCTGTGAATTATAGGCTCAGTATCATGATTGGATTAAACTTTTGGAAGCCATTTCACGGTACAAGATATATATGGGAGTTTCTCATTTACGACCTGTAGTTCCCATCTCCCAGGCTCCTTGTCTGTGGTGGCAGTTTGCTGCACAAGCTTCACTCCAGCAACAGCAGAAGTGGTAACTTGTATTTTTTGTTTTGTTAAAATGAGTCATCTACCTTTTTGCTAATTGTACTCACAGAATTTTGGAAAAGATTGTAGAGAAATTATTGTTATTGATGTATCTTCTGTAAGTGATATAAAAAAGAGAGATACAATCGGTTATTTATGGAGATGTTAACAGTTATATTAGATCTTAAAAGAAGCCTCTAGACACAACTGACACGTTGACAGATGAGTAACAAACTTAATAACTGGCTAACTTCCCGAGAGAGTAAGTTAAAAACTGGTCTCTGTACAACATTTCCCCCCCATAAAAAACTCAAGGTGGGTGAGAATGATATGGGAGCTGAACGATGTTGGGTTTCTCTTGGAATCAGAAATCTGGTGGGATTGCTGGGGCATGATAAGTAAGTCAGCCCATTAATTTTTGGCAGGAACGTGCACTATAATGAGGTTTATGCTGAGATCGTTTTCTCTAACAAAGAACAGGTCAATGTCCATGTGCTTATTCCTTAGATGGAATGGAGAACAGGGTTGTGAGCTAGAGAAACAGTATTCTGGTTACCATAGTCATGGTAGTGGAATCGAGATTTCAATGGGAAGGCCTAATCATGAATTTGGATTGTATTGTGAATCAAGAGATTCTTGATCAATAGGAAAGCATAACATATACAATTAACAAAGACATATAAAAACACTAATTCATAAACAATAACTAAACAAACTTAAATCTAAAAGCATTTTAACATAAGGAAACATATCAAACACCAAAACATTCTTTAAAATAAAAAAATGTAAAGAGATTTTGACATAAGGAAACATATCAAATATTAAAACATTATTTGAATTAAATAAATATCAAAATATATCTGACTCATTTATGTGCATATTTAAGACAGTTCTTTGAGTAAGACAGCAGAACCATTAGAAAGAGGCCTGACTTAAATACCAAAATTGTAGTCAAGCTCGCTAAATGTTGTTTAGCTAAAGTAGAATTTAATTGAGTATGGAGGCTTTGATAGCATGTTAATGGTACAAAGAATTTTGAGAGAAAACATTGAAGAGAAACCTATTATTATGAATGTATTAACACAGAATGGAAGAGATACAGTCAGTCATTTATAGAGTTGTTGACACTTGAAAGTTAGCTTAGATCTTAACAAAAACCTATAGACCAACTATCACAATGAAAGCTGCATAGCTAACTCAATAATAACCTTGCTTCTAATGTTGTATGTATCCCCATTCATTCATAGAATCTGTATCCGGAGCTGATTTTATGCTTCTGTATTGAATCAGTTACCGCTTATCATGGGACCAAATTAGGCATCTTTGTCAGTGTCGACGGAGGTATATTCAGTTGTATGTGGCTTTTCTTCAACAATCATCAAATGTCAATTGCACAGAAATCAGAGAAATAGAGAAAGATCTCGATTCAAAAGTGATTCTTCTATGGAGGTCTGTATGATTCTTATGCTATTATGCTGATGCTTGTTGAAGGTGGTTGTATTATTTTGAAAAATATCATGCTTTATGACTTTCAAGAATAAGATGTAAGACTTCAATTTCTGTGCATGCATGATTTACTTAATGGAGAAGCTTCTAACCAATAGTTTTATATTAATCTATTTTTAATTTTTTTAAATAAGAAACATTGATAGTGAATAGCTCTGGATTTTAATAGGAAAATGAAGTAAAGAGGTGGAATAGAGATTCTGGTTTCTGAATCTGGTTAATTGCTAGTGTTTATCAGTGTTTTCGATCTGCTTTTTGCTTTGGTCCTCTGTGAATTATATCCAAATGGCCTTAATTGAGGGAAGCCAAAACGACTGCTGTATCCGATACTTAACTGTCCTTCAATAAGTCAGTGGACTGATTTAAATTTGTTGGGTTTTTTCTATGTTATTTAATGTTTCTTTTTCTTCATCTAATACTATGACATCATTTCTTCTTCTTTCCTTTTTTGGGGGGGGTTGGGTCTTGTATTGTCTACCTTCTTACTGCAATATATGCCCATTTATTAATGAAAAGAGGGTGTATCTGTGTGTCTACTTTGTTATTTAGGCTACTAGCCCATGCCAAGGTTGAATCTGTGAAATCAAAGGTAGCAGCTGAAGAAAGAAAGATGAGGAAAAATAGCTGGTTTTCATTTAAATGGTACATGTCACCTTCATTATTTCTAAATATTGTCACTAGTCCTTTTCATGTTTGTCCTTTTGTGGATTAACTTCAGCAATATTTCTTGGTCTTGCTGGATCTGTTTTCCTTAAGTTTTGTCAGTATGCATGAGCATTTATTATAGTTTGATTTTATTCTAGGCGTGACACTGAAGAATCCCCTTTGGATGACGCTTCTGAAGAGCAAGAGCTTAAAGAAGAATGGCAAGCTATCAACAAGTTACTAAGTTACCAGCCTGAGGAGGAGTTGATGTTACGAACTTCAAAAGATACGCAGAATATGGTTCAGTTTCTGGTAACGGTTTCTGTTGGTCAGGCTGCTGCCAGGATTATCAGTGTGAATCAGAAGGAAATTGTATGTGGTCGATTTGAGCAACTTCAAGTGTCAACAAAGTTAAGGCATCGCAGTGTTTACTGTGATGTGTTACTAAAATTTTATGGTTTATCTGCTCCTGAAGGTTCACTTACACAGGTTTGCCTTCTATGTAATGCATGCTGCTGCAATATATTTTATGTCAAATTTTGAAGTTGTAAAACTAACGATGGTTTGTTTTATTTGGGTACCTCTTCTTCCTATTGTACTATTTTCCCATACCTTTTTATGTTCCCCTTAAAATCTTGTAGCCTGTCTCAATTGTTAATATAACTAAAGTCTAGCAGTTTTTCTTTTTAGTTTTTTTTTTTTTGTTAATTCATAATTCTTGTCTACTTGCTGTACAGAGTGTCTACAGTGAGCAAAAGGTGAATGCATTAGTGGCTAATTTTGTGCACTTACCAATTGGGGAGAATATTGACTGGAGATTGTCAGCTACAATTGCTCCCTGCCATGTTACGGTAATTTCTAAGTCTTTGGGAGAGTGAAAAAAAGTGTTTTTATTGTTCCATTTACCCAAATGTGGATCCCTTATCATCTATTTTCGTATGTTCTCTTTGTTTTATGATTTTCTTTGGAAAAATCTCTCTCTGGGCCCAATACTGAGATCTTCCGTGCCCCATAAATAACTGAGGTAAGACTTGATGAAACAAGAAAATGAGCTCTGAATGGTTTGGCATTATGTTTGTGCTAAATATGCCAAATCGCTAAACACTAAACCTAGACTGAAGGGCATCTATCATAGCCTTGAAAATGAGTGAACAAAATCTTTCTAAATATGATTGACAGAAAGGTTTTTCGTCAAATATTGTAATTTATAAGAACTAAATATTGAAAACAAAAGGTTGCAAATGCATGCTATACAAATAAGAACTTCTACTTAATGTCTTAAAAAAATCAAACTATAATAGGTTATTTTTTTCATCAGTATTCTCATTGGAGTCTTTCTTACTTGACATATAGGTTTTGATGGAAAGCATTGATCGTGTCATGGAGTTTGTAAAACGAAGTAAAGCTGTCAGTCCTACTGTTGCACTGGAGACAGCTACAGCCTTGCAGGTGATTATATCCATGTGTTTGACTTACCTTCAAATATTTTAAATTGAATAAATATTATGTCTAAGGAGATCACCGCATTTATTCCTGAATTTCACTTTTCTTGTTTGTTTTAATTTGTTTTTAATACCTCATTTACACTTGATATAAGAGTGTGTTTGTGATGCAAACCAGAACCGCAAAAACAAAGTGGACAGTAAAATAATGAAACAGTGAATGAAATATGACTGAAATGAGAATGTGTATTATTTATGTAATAAGGAAAATTACAGTAGTTCATCTGGATGAACGACTGCCACAGAGCTGGGCTCCTACAAAGAACAAACACTCTCCATTCTCAACAAACTGAAATGATTCCTCAAAGATAGCCCCCACCCGCATGCACGTATGCTATTTGTTACCATCAGTAACTAACTATTCCGTTTACACTTTTTCTCTCTCTCCAACTCACTAAACCCCCTCACATCTTTTTTTTCCTTTATTCCTTCTCACGTAAACGTTCCATATCTTAGGCCCATGGGCCAATTGCTGGGTCCTAACACTGCCCCCTCTTGCAAAATCAGCCTTGTCCTCAAGGCTGAAGTTTGGGAACTGGCTGCGAATAGTAAACAATAGCACGTTGCGTCTTCTGCTGGTTTGCCTTTCCATTGGACTAACAGTTGATTGACATTCTCCCCTTCCTTGACCACAACTCTAGTGGCTAAAACAATAGCAGGCTCAAAATCATCATGAAACTTGCTGTCTATTTCGACGGGTAAATCTGCCTCCAATGGGTAATCCCCGACAGCGTGCTTCAGTAGTGATACGTGGAACACAGGATGTATCCTAGAAGAATCAGGAAGCTTAAGCTTATAAGCCATTGCTCCCAAACGTTCAGCACCTAAAAAGGACCATAATATCGTGCTGAAAGCTTAGCATTAATCCTTGAAGCGATAGTCTTCTGTTTGTGGGGACACAGTTTCAAAAATACTCAGTCACAAATGTTAAAACTCTGTTCTGTCCTCTTCTTATCAGCTTGGGTCTTCATCTTGGACTGAGCTTGCTGCAAGTGGTATTTCAATTGTCTCAAAGCTTCATCACAATCCAGTAATTCTCGTTGTACTACTTCTACCCTCGTCTCACCTAGAAGAAAACGGGTAAGCTCTGGAGGTGGCCTTCCATAGACTACTTCAAAGGTTGTTACCCCTGTAGTCGCATGAAAAGTGGTGTTATACCAATACTTTGCCCAATGCACCCACTGGATCCACGTTCGGGGCTGATCAGCAATAAAACAACGTAGGAAAGTCTCAATACACCTGTTCACAACCTCAGTTTGGCCATCAGTTTCCGGATGATAAGCTGAACTCATCTTAAGTTGAGTGCCTTGCAGTTTGAACAATTCTCCCCAAAAATTACTTACAAAAATAGGATCTCTATCACTGATAATCGCTTTGGGAATTCCATGCAATCTTACGACTTCTTTTGCAAAAATTTCAGCAATCATATGAGCTGTATACGGGTGTTTGAGGGGAATAAAATGGCCATATTTAGATAGCCTGTCTACTATCACAAAAATGGCAGTATAGCCTTTAGATTTAGGCAACCCTATAATAAAATCCATGGACACTTCTTCCCAAATCATTTCCAGAATACCTAAGGGCTGTAATAATCCACCAAGGATGTGGCCATGTATTTGTCTTTGGCATATATCGCACTCCCTAACAAACTTCTAGATCATTTTCTTCATTCCACTCCAATACATATTGGTTGCCATCCTCCGATATGTTCTATAGAATCTTGAGTGTCCTCCCTGTGGTTGCATGAAATTCCTTTAATATTTGAGGAATCAGAGAAGATTGAGCAGAAAGCACTAATTTGTCCCCATAAAACAGAATACCATTCTTATAAGAAAACCCCGGTCTGGAATTTAAATCCTGCTGTAAATCAGCGATAATACTTTTCAAAAATACATCGTTGTGTACTTCATCCACCACCTGGCTGCTATCTACCCAGATAGGATAGAAAACCATTGAATTCATATGACCCTCACCTATTACTCGAGAGAGGGCATCATCACCCTTATTTTCCGGACCAGACTATGTAAAATATCAAATTGGTAACCCAGTAATTTGGTTGCCCAATTCTGTTGGTCAGTAGTAGAAATCCGTTGTTCCAACAACGGTCGTAAACTCCTCTTGTTAGTGCATATAGTAAATGCTCTTCCTAACAAATAGGGCCTCCAATGTTGAATCGCCAAGCCAACTGCCATCAATTCTTTTTCATATGTTGATTTGGCAAGGTTTCGATCACTCAACGCCTTGCTAAAATAAGCTACAGGTCTGCCATTTTTGGTGAGGATTGCTCCTACTTCGTGATCAAGATGCATCACACTCAATAATGAATTTTTGAGTAAAATCACTTAATGCCAGAACCGGTGTTGTTGTAAGCTTTGTCTTCAAACACTCAAAAGCTTACTGAGCCCTCAAATTCCACTTGAACCCTTTCTATAGTTAATGGTTTTGCAATCTTCCCATAATCCTGGATAAATTTTCTATAGTAACCCGTCAAACTTAAAAAATCTCGAACACCTTTCACATTTTTTGGTACTGGCCATTGTAAGACACTCTTCACTTTGTTTGGATCCATTGCCACATCACCCATGGAGATGATGTGTCAAAAATACTCCACTGACGACTGACAAAAAGAGCATTTCTTCCTGTTAGCTACCGGTTAATGTCACTGCAATACCTTTAGAACCTCCATTAAATGCAATAAATGTGTCTCCCAATCAAAACTATAAACCAAGATGTCATAAAAAAAAACAAGAACAAACCTCCTCAACATTCCTCTGAAAATCTCATTCATTAAAGCTTGAAATGTTGATGGTGCATTCATCAAACCAAACGGCATGACTAAATAGTCGTAATGACCTTCATGCGTTCTAAATGGTGTTTTGTGTATATCATCCTTCTTAACGCGCACCTGATGATAACCAGATTTGAGGTCTAGTTTAGAGAAAAACTGGGCTCCATGTAATTCATCTAAAAGTTTGTCGATGACTGGAATGAGAAATTTATCAGGTATGGTAACCTTGTTTAAAGCCATGTAGTCCATACACATCCTCCAAGTTCCGTCCTTCTTCACCAAGATAACTGGACTAAAAAAGCACTCTGGCTTGGATGTATAATCCCTAATTCCAGCTTCTCCTTGACTTGCTTCTCAATTTCATTTTTGTGGTGGTGTGGATATCGATAAGGACGCACATTCACTGGCCTTGTCCTTCAACTAAAGTGATGACATGTTCCTTCCCTCTATTGGGGGGTAGTCCCTTAGGTTCCTTGAACACCTCAACATATTGGTTCAACAATTTACCCAACCGTGCTCGCTGCTCTGGATTCAGATTTTCAAATTTATCTTCTCTGTTTCCCTCTAGAGACACTTCAGTTGCGAAATATAAGTCTGCAACCATCCTTTTTGATTTCTCGAAAAAAACTTTGAAGAGCCATGGTAGGTATGCTTCCCCTACCTTCGCCTTTCAACTCCATCCACTTTCCTCCATGCTGAAAACACATAATCTGCTTTCCCTAGTCGACCCACATTCCTCCAAGAGTAGCTAGCCAGGATATTCCTAGTACTACATCAATTCCCTCAAGGTCAAACAAGAAAGTATCTACAGGGAACTTAACCTCCTCCACGTCAAGTTGGAGCCCAACACATTTACCTCGTGCCACTGCGTTGTAGCCATCTCTCAGCTTGATTCTCATGAATTTGGTGTCTTCAACCGACCATCGCATTGTTGTGACAAGCCTTTTAGAAATAAAGTTGTGTTGCCTCACTATCCACCAAGATGAGAATTGGTACCTCTTTGATTGTCCCGTTAAGCTTCATCGTTCGAGGTCTCCTCTCCTGCTCTGCAAGCAAATTTCCCATACTTAAGATGCTACATTCCCCATCGACTTCAGTCTCTTCGTCATCAACTTCTGCAGTTAGTACATCGCCCTCAGTCTCTACGTCTTCTAATTCATCCATGATCATAATATTCAGTTGCTTGTCGGGGCATTGGTGCAAACCCTCCGCATTTGTAGCACAACCCCTTTTGTTTGCATTCTAGAAGCTCTTGATATGAAAGATGCCTGAATCCCCTGTCTCTGGATTGGGGACCTTTGTTTTCCACCGATGGGCCAGATTTGGACGTTGACCCAACTTGCTTTGCCCCCCCCATCTATTTTCCTGCCTCTTACCATAACCCAATCAAATCCAGAGTGGCTGCCCATTACTATAGAACTAACCGAGTTATTTGTACTGGGTCAGTTAAACATTCCCAAACCGTAACTTGTCCTCCCTCCAGTATTCCTTCCTCCTCCTAGGATATGATTCTAGTCATGCAGTTCGCTCTCGATGGCTCTCGCCAAGGTCATTAAGTGAGAATGAGACATCGGCCCCTAATGTATGCATGCTGCGCACTCTTCCTCGAATCTCCATCCTCAGCTCGTGAATGAAGTAGCCAAAATATTGATCGTCGGGGAAACTCCCCACCTGAGCCATCAACCTCTCAAACTCCCGAATATACTCATCGACACTTCCCTTTTGCCGGAGCGCCGCGAGTTGCTCAAACACATCACCCTCACCGACTCTTCCATATCGCTCTAGCAGCTCACACTTGAATTTTTCCCAATTTAGATCAGGCTCGTTTGTAACTAGAGAGTTGAAGAAATGGATCGTAGGCCCTTCCATACACAACTGAGCAAGGTTCACCTGTATCTCCGGACTCGTCTCCATCACCTAAAAATAGATCTCTGCTCGAGAGGTCCATCCTGTTGGGTCATCATCGTCAAACATCGACAACTCCACCCTCTTCACTGATTGACGAAACTCGCTGAGCTATTCTCCTTGTAACTTCTTCCATCCTGAGGTCGAACTTATTTTCCCTTCTCAGGTGACTCCTCCTCCTCCTCTTTCTTATGCTCCATCCGAGTATCCTCCAATCTCTTGGTAAGCATTGCAATTAGCCTTGCTTGGTTCTCCTCCGCCTTGGATTGCATTGCAACGAGAGTGGATTGCAGATTTGCGACCTAGTTCTCCAGAGCTGCTACTGTGGCCTCCATCTTCTTTGGTGGCATCCAACTGAACCCTTATTCCTTTTACGCTGACCTCTTCCCTCCGTCGTATCCGGCAAGTCAGACCAGTTTGATGCAAACCAGAACCGCAAAAACAAAGTGGACAGTAAAAGCAAAGTGGACAGTAAAATAATGAAACAGTAAATGAAATATGACTAAAATGAGAATGTGTATTATTTATGTAATAAGGAAAATTATAGTAGTCTGGATGAACGACTGCCACAGAGCCAGTCTCCTACAGTGAGCAATCGCTCTCCATTCTCAACAAAATGAAATGATTCCCCAAAGATACCCCCACCCGCACACACGTATGCTAATTGTTACCATCAGTAACTAACTATTCCGTTTTCTCTTTTTCTCTCTGCCAACTCACTAAACCTCCTCACGTCGTTTTTTTCCTTTATTCCTTCTCACGTAAACGTTCCATATCTTAGGCCCATGGGCCAATTGTTGGGTCCTAACAGTTTGTTTCAAATTATTTTATTTAAATACTCTTATCTCAAAATAGTTTTTAGATATTTTGAATTGTTTGGATAAGATTAACAAGCCATCAGAATCTAATTGTGACAAATAGATATTCACATTGAATTTAAAAATTATAGTTTAAAAGAACACATATAGCTTACTCCTTTCCTATTCTCTGCGTTTGAATGAGCAATTTATTTTGAAGTGATGAGATTTATGTTTTGTTTTTTTTATTACAAAAGCAGATTGGTAGTGTAAAATATTTGAATCTAACTCAAAATCTATCTACAGCTTCTTCAACTTAAAGCTGGACATAGATACAATTCTTCTACGTGGAACCTAAATATGAAAGTTTATCTAAATCTTAACCTCATTAACTGGTAATTCAATGTGATTCTGAAAAATCCAATGTGAACCCACACATGTACTACATTGATACTTACATTAATGGGTTACAAGAGTCTATGGTACATGTTGTTTGGACACGACTGGAAGTTTTTATTGCTTATAAACTTGTGTAGCTAAGGATACTAAATTTTAGTATATGGGAACATGTAAAACTCTGGAAAAATAGATTAACTGAAATATGATTTTTATTATTTCAATACAAAGAGATGATATAAGATATATACAAGAGACCTAAACTATTTTAGGAAATATAATAACTCTATTTTATGCTAGGATCCCTTGATTTATGGGATTGTTCCTAATTATTCAAATCTGTACATATTACAAGGAAATATATAACTTTCCTTATTTATTCTTTCCTAAAATACTATTTGATTTCTCACACTCCCCTCAAGCTTGGTGAATAGATGTTTTCCATTCCCGGCTTGGATACAATCTTCTCAAAATTATGGCAGCCCAGTCCCTTGGTAAGAATGTCCGCAATTTGGTCTTGAGAGGACACATATGGAGTGCATATCAAGCCACTATCAAGCTTTTCTTTGATGAAGTGTCTGTCTACTTCAATATGCTTTGTTCTATCATGCTGCACTGGGTTGTGGGCTATACTGATTGCTGACTTATTATCACAATAGAGCTTCATAGGTTCTTCCCACTTTATCCTCAAGTCTTCTAAGATGATTTTAAGCCATAGCAACTCACATATACCTTGTGCCATGGCTCGGAATTCTGCTTCGAGCATTGGACCGAGCCACTACACCCGCTTTTGCTTCTCCAAGTCACAAGATTTCCTCCAAGAAAGGTGCAATATCCTCGTAGTTGACCTCCTATCCACAATTGACCCTGCATAATCAGCATCAGTATAGGCTTCAAGCTTCACATTACCATTCCTTTTGAATAGAATCCCTCTTCTTGGAGTTCCTTTAAAGTACTTGTAAAATTCGTAGGCAGCTTGTAAATGGGTCTCCTTTGGGCTATGCATAAATTGGCTAATTAAACTCACTTGCATAGGCAATGTCCGGCCTGGTATGTGACAAATATATAAGTCTGCCCACTAATCTTTGGTACATATCTTTTTCAACGACAACATCTTCTTACGCATTTCCAAGCTTTAGGTTTGGTTCTAATGGGGTACTAGCGGGTTTGCAAGCTGCCTTGCCAGTTTCCTTGAGCAAATCGGTGATGTATTTCTGTCGAGATATAAATATCCCTTTCTCGGAGTGGGCAACTTCAATTCCCAAAAAATATTTTAGTTTTCCCAAAGTCTTGATCTCAAATTCCTTGCCTAAGCATTGACTCAATAATTGTTGCTCTTCTTTATTATCTCCGAGTTAATATTATGTCATCCACATACACCAATAATATTGTCACTCCCCACGACTTGGAATGTTTAAAAAACAAAGTATGGTCCCCTTGACTTTGTTTGTAACCCGGACCTGTCATAACTTTAGTAAACCTGCCAAACCATGCACGGGGGGACTGTTTTAACCCATATAATGCCTTTTTCAACTTGCAAACGAGTGTTGGCAGCAACATCTTTACCATATCCAGGAGGTATCTCCATATAGATTTCTTCTTCAAGGTCTCCATGTAGGAAAGCATTCTTAACTTCAAATTGTTCCAAGTTCCAACCATAATTGGCAGCAAGGGACAATATCACCCTAATCGTGTTCATTTTGGCAACCGGAGCAAAGGTCTCCAAATAATCAACTCCATAGGTTTGGGTGAACCCTTTGGCAACTAGTCTTGCCTTATATCTCTCAATTGATCCATCGACCTTGTATTTCATCGTATAGACCCATTTACATCCAACTGGCCTCTTTCTTATTGGTAAGGTGACTAACTCCCAAGTGTTGTTCTTCTCCAATGCCTCCATCTCTTCATCCATGGCTTGCCTCCATTTTCAGTCGAACAATGCCTCGAGATAGGGTATTAGGTAGAAGTACGGTGTTTAGGTTTACTAGGAAGGTTTTATGGGTAGGAGAGAAATTTTTAAAGGACAGGTAATTTGAGAGAGGGTAGAGTGGCTGTTTGGTGCATTTTCTTGTTCCTTTTCTAATGGCAATTGGGAGGTCAGAATCATTTTGGGTTTCAATTTCAACCTGCACAGCTGGAGAAAAAATTGTTACCTCTTTTTGTGGAGTCGAGTTGGATTCTTGAACATGGCTTGATCCTGGAATGGCCTTAGTCTTCCTTGAGTACACCAGCTTCTTACCAAATTTTCCAGTTTCAACATCTTCTTGATCAGCTTCACAATTAATTTCACTTTCTTGACCAACTTCCTTTGCTTGACCAATTCCTTGACTTGTTTCATTTGTTACACCTTCAATTTGATCTTCAATTTGATCTTGTTTAGGTTCAAATATCAAGTCTTGAAGAATGGGAAAACCAGAATCACTACTTTCCTTATCTTCCCTGAAACTCTCCCCTTGAAGATAAGGTTGATGGAAATAGCCCTCTTGTTCATTGAAGGTAACATCCCTAGACACAAAGAATTTTTTGGATGGGGGGTGGCAGCATTTATACCCTTTTTGAGTGGGTGAGTAACCAACAAAGACACACTTTAAGGCTCTAGGATCAAGTTTTCCCCTGTTTGTACTATGAATATGGACATATGAGATGCAACCAAAAACTCTTGGTTTAAGATTATTTGTAGTAGACAAGTTTGGATAGAAAGACGATAAAACTTCCATAAGGCTTTTTGATCCTAAGACTCTAGAGGGTAGTCTATTGATAAGGTATGTTGCTGTAAGGACAGCTTCCCCCCAGAAATTTTTTGGGACACTTTTTTGGAATAACAATGCCCGAGTCTGATGTAATAGATGTCCATTTTTCCTCTCTGCGACCCCATTCTGTTGTGGTGTTTTGACACAAGAGGACTCATGAATTATACCTTCTTTTTGACAAAAAGAATTAAGGACATGATTGAAGTAATCTTTGGCATTATCTGACCTAAGCCTCTTAATATTAACACCAAACTGATTTTTTATCATGGAGTGGAAGTTTAGGAAGACAGAACTGACTTCTGATTTTTGTTTAAGTAGGAAAACCCAAGTGACCCTTGTACAGTCATCTATAAAGGTGACAAACCATCGAGTACCAGACACATTTGGAATATTAGAAGGTCCCCATACATCAGTATGAACAAGATAAAAAGGAAAATTGCTAATTCTATTACTTATTGGAAAAGATATACGTTTGTGCTTAGCAAGTTCACACACCTCACAATGAAGACTCTTAACATCTAACTTGGTAAACAGAGAGGGAAATATAATTTTGATTACTCCAAAAGAGGGATGTCCCAACCGACAATGATAAAGCATGATTTTTTCTCTGTTGGTCATCAAGGATTCGAGATATGAAGGAGTGAGAGATTCTATTCTTGCTTGGGCGAGACTTGGATCTTCGAGATAATAAAGGCCATTCCATTCTCTAGCATGTCCAATCATCCTCCCCGAATCCTTATCCTGAAATACACAATGATCGTTGGAAAAAACAACTTTACATGACAAATCCTTTATAAGTTTTTGTATAGACACTAGGTTCGTGGACAACTTTGGGACATGGAGAACGTCTTTTAAGGTTATTAAAGGATTGATTTGGATATTTCCTTGACCAGTTGCAGTTATAAGGGTTCCATCTCGCTGTGGCAATTTTCTTGTTGCTTGGGACATGGGGAATATGTGGAGAAGTGTTTGGCTAATGGTGTCATGTGATCTGTGGCTCCGAGTCCAATATCCAATAATGGTTAAAAGGCGTATCCGAGACATTTAATCCAAAAGAAGGTGGAAACTTACCTGAGTATGCCAAAGAACACATATCTGTAGGTTTTTCCAGCTTACTAAGAATGGTTTTCACCTTTTCTATCTCCTCTTCCCTTGACATTATAGCAAAAAGGTGCGATGCAACAACAATGCAGGCTGTCGTCTTAGGATTATGAAAAAGGCAGCAGCAATGTAGGTTGCCGTCTTAGGGTTAAGAAAAATGCAGCAGCAATGCACGCTACCGTCTTAGGGTTACAAAATATGCAGCAGCAATGCAGGCTGCCGTCTTAGGGTTTATCGAGCGCAAACAGAGCTTCCTAGATCGGAAGCTCTGATACCATCTGGAAAAATAGATTAACTGAAATATGATTTTTATTATTTCAATACAAAGAGATGATATAAGATATATACAAGAGACCTAAACTATTTTAGGAAATATAATAACTCTATTTTATACTAGGATCCCTTGATTTATGGGATTGTTCCTAATTATTCAAATCTGTACAGATTACAAGGAAATATACAACTTTCCTTATTTATTCTTTCCTAAAATACTATTTGATTTCTGACAAAAACAAAACAAACTGTTATTTATGCAAGAAAAAAATGACCAGATGTAGTTCCGTGACAAAAGTTCATTTTTTTTGGAGTGAGTTGCTTCCCTCTTTATAATTTAAAAAATCTTTTGTGGGTTTTCTAAAGACATGCTGAGGGACCAGGGAGTCTGTATTGATGAGTATATTATTATGTATAATTTATATTTCTTTGATTGTTCGAGAGGTTATATTATCTTTCTTCCATATATGTGCTCTCCTCCACTCATTCAATAATCTAATTTTGCATGAGAGTAAAGTCCATTAGTAAGTGAACTGAGCTTCCTCAAGACATTGAATATGATTGAAATTAAAAGTAAAATGTGGAAAAGGAAATGTGTGATTGGTAAATTTATATGGAGAAAAGTAAATTTATATACTTCATGAAGTGACCTTTTTAATTGACATTTGCGAGGATAGATGAAGTTTGAGAAAGTGACTCGTAGAGCACATGAGCAGTTTCAAATGGCTTTAGAAGAGCAAAGCAGGTTATCATCTATTGTTAATTTTTTTTTTTTCTTTATTGGGGGGGTGTTTCTGGTTTCAAATGGCTTTATAAGAGCAAAGCAGGTTATAATCTATTGCCAAAGCATTTATTAATATTTATGTGCGCCAAAAGAAATCCATTCCTTGTTTTTTTTTTTTTTTTTCATTTTTTTGATTCTTCACATGCATGATTTGAAATATTTGATACTTCAGTACATCTTTTTTATCATTTCTTATGTTATATTTAAAAATTGCATTATGCTCAGTTACAGATTCTTTTTTTCTGACTGATCTCTCAGATTTGCATTTGATATTGATCTTGATGCTCCTAAAGTTAGAGTTCCTCTCAGAACTACTGGTTCGGACAGATGTGATAGTCATTTTATTCTGGATTTTGGTCACTTTACACTGCACACTGCAGTAAGCTATTGAAATCAAGATTTTATTTTGGTCATTTTACTCTGCAGACTGTGCTTTTGAATTGGCTTGGGCTATTCTTTATTGATTCTTGTTTTTACAGGAAAGCCAGTCTGATGAGAAGAGGCAGAATCTTTATTCTCGGTTTTACATATCTGGAAGAGATATAGCTGCCTTTTTTACAGACTGTGGGTCTGATTTCGGGAGTTGTAGTATGTTGAAACCAAACTTTGACAGTCAAATAATGAGTTCACCTATTGGCAACAAAGATGAAAATATGTGTTATCTCATTGATAGGTGTGGAATGGCTGTACTTGTTAATCAGGTTTGTTTCATAAATTCTTAAATCCAAACTCTTTATCGGCAATATTCTGGATGACATTTTCATGTCCATAACTTGTTCATATTCGGTTTCTGTCTCTGGTTGCTCAAGATTAAAGTGCCCCATCCAAGTTATCCATCCACTCTTATTTCCATTCAAGTGCCAAACCTTGGCATTCACTTTTCATCAGAGAGAAATTTCAGAATTATGGAGCTGCTGAGCTTATTGTATGAGACTATGGGAACTTGTAGTCAGCCTACAACTGATAGTTTGCAATCTAAACCTGTTCCTTGGAGTCCTTCTGATCTTGCCACTGAGGGTAGAATTCTAGTTTGGAAGGTAATTCTTCTATTCTTGTAAGCTTTACCCACTGGCCATTTATGTTCAAGGTAAATGATTCATTCTATTCAATAAAATTGAAAGTAATTTTTTATTTTACAGGGAATTGGCAATTCTGTTGCTACATGGAGTCCTTGTTTCCTGGTGCTTTCAGGATCATATCTTTATGTATTTGAATCTGCAAAGTCTCAGAGTTATCAGCGATATCTAAGGTTTTTAGCCTTTTTTTGTCTTTAGTCCCCTGGACACCAATTACAATTTTTTTTTGTGAAAATGTCAAAGAGAGAACATTTACTTGGAGGGTAAGCCAGCCTTCAGATTAGGAAAAAATTAAAAAATATATATAAATGCAAAAAATGATTAACGTACTGCTGGGATTTGTCCACTCAGTATGCACATCATGTAGTTAACTGCATGTGTAAATATGACTAAACTTGTCTCATAAGTCGTTAAGAGTAAATAAATGTGATTTTTCTAAAATTACGATCTGTACTTGTGGCTCTAATGGTCACATATGCCTTACTGTTCAGAGAGAGAATGTGAGAAAGAAAAACATATTTTCTAAATTTGCTTGTGTTTTTTCTCCCAACAGAATGGGCTTATTTATAATGAAGAGTGTTGAAAATATAATTAATGCCAAAACAATACAAGAAAACAATTAAGATATTGTTACTTCCTAAGTGCTTTGACATAGCTGTACCAAGTATATGGTCCACTTGGAAAAATAAACATTCAAGAAGCTTTCATCTCTTAAAACATTCGTATTCCTAACATGTATAAATGTTGATTTAGTCCTCATTAGAATTGTTCAGTATCCCCTTCTCTTGGGCTTAATTGCATTTTTAGTTCCTTTACTTTAAATTATGTGCATTTAGGGTTTAGGGTTTCAGGTTGAAGAAAAAGCCAAAATTTACCTAATTTTAAGCTGGAGGAACTAAATTTGCTCAAGAAACTGGAATGTCCATAACTGCACATAGTCTATAGTCTAAACAAAAGGGAACAAAAGTCAAACTAAATTTAAAAATATACTGTTTGGTTTTATGTAATTTTATTTTTCATCTCTGCAGCATGGCTGGTAGGCAAGTCCTTGATGTGCCCTCTACGTATATTGGTGGTTCTGCATTCTGTATTGCTTTAAGCACCAAGCGAATGGACATTCAGAAGGTGAGCCAAGTAATTTCTTTAATCTCTGGAAACAAGTATTCTTCCCGAAATAATCCATTCTAATTTTCTACTTGTGACCGTGGACTCTCGTTTTCAATTGTAAATGTATTTTCTTACTTGGCTAGACGACTTGATTGACTTGGGTGTTTATGATCTACAAATTGGTTATCAAGAATGAATTTCTTAATATTTGGAGACTGACAAAGAAAAACAGAGATTACAAAATCGTTTCAGAAAGTCTATAGTACACAATCATCTGTCTGATTTGCTAAAATTTAGGTTTAAAGTAAAAAGCACGATGGGTAGTTAGCTTCTCTACCACTCAAAATTGAGAAATACAAGAGAAAATAAATGATGGGAAGAGTTCAAACTCCTAACCTGGCTCTGTCTGCTGTCGGCTTAAGCAAATCCACTTAGATTTATACACATTTTTGCCAAAGATTTGAAATGTGTTAAATTTATGTTATAGATATGGTATCATCATTTTTTATTGTTATGCAGATAAAATATTTTTTTGGAGGATACCTTGTCCTCCATAAAAGAATTTAGAGGTAGAGAATATAGAATGAAATCAGAGAAATTGTATTTCTGCAGAAGAGAGTCAATTATTTATAGTTAATTACAGTCCTTAACTAAGTTTAACAAACTAAAAGACCAACAACTGCATACGTAACAGACTCATTTGAATCAAGAGTATACAATACTCCAGTATCCCTTGCAATCTCAAGAGGGAAGTGATGCAAAGAAGTCACTTACTTTTAGGGATGGCAATTAAACCCATCCCCGTAGGGACCGACCCGTCTCCGCCTCGAGTTTGACTGGAAAACCCGAGTTGACCGGGGCGGGTTCGAGTTTTCCCGCTTTAAAAAGTCGGGGCGGGCGGGGATGGGTAATGCCCCGACTTTATATTTAAATTTAAATTTTAAAATATTAATATTCTAAAAGTATTTCCTTTTCTTTTTTACATATAAGGTCATTTTTTTATATTTCACCAAATTTTTTTCTTCTACCCACTTTAATTTTTTTATCTTTTTTAATCTTTTATATCAATTAATTTATTACATTATTATTTCTCTTACCTTTCAGCTTTTTCATATCTCCTTAATCTCTTCCATCAATTTGTTTTTTTTTCAATCTTTTCAACCAATTTGATGAACACAAAGTTAATTTTTTTTATTCTTTATCTTTTTCTAAATATTTTACATAAAGTAGGAACTATTATTATTTTATTTATAATTTATATTTATTAGGTTTTATTATGTCATATTTTTTTTATCTTATTATTCTTATTTATCATATATCAAATTTTATCTTAATAAAATAATTATATTTTAAAGGATTAAAGGAATTGATAATTTAAATTTTTATTACTTCGAACTAATTGAATAAGAATTAACTTATTAAATATTTCCTTATAAACAATATATTTCATATTTTTAAATGACAACTTAAAAATGAATTAACTTATATATATAATCAAATGTTTGAATACAGTATTATAATAATAGTGTTATAAATATTCAAATATTTGAATACGAGTGTTATAATAATAATAATATTATAAATAAAAAATGATTAAATATTTTTTTTACATACACATTTTAATATAAATATAATAAATTAAAATGTATATTTAATTAATAATAATTATAAATTATAAATATTTATTTATATATAAAAAATAGATAGTAAAATTAATTCATTATAAATATAATTATCTTTTTAAAAATAATATAAATCGGGGACTGGCGAGGCGGGAACCCGAAACCCAGCGGGACTGGGACTTAATTTCTAACCCGACGGGGATCGGGGGCGGGGACAGGGATGGTTAAAAAAGTCGGCGGCGGGGATCGGGGAGGCAAAACCCATGCCTACTTACTTTGAGTCTGGACCTAAAAGTAAGGAAGGAGACAAAGCCTTGGTTTGACTTGAAATAGAAAAAGGAAAATAAAGAACTGATTTTGAGAGCTTGAAATCATCTTCTTGTGTTCTCTTAATTATAGGAGATAAAAATACAGATTCAGAGATACAATTAATAGAGAGACATGATTAATCCTAGAGAAGATAAACATATGCATTCTAGGAACTAGGTCTACAACTAATCTAATATGCCCACCAAGATACAATTAATCTAATAAATACTTCAACACTCCCCCTCAAGCTGGAGCATACAAATTGAATGTACCAAGCTTGGAACAAATGAATTCCATTCGAGGTCCTCTCAAAGATTTTGTTAATGCATCTGCAAGCTGGTCATTGGAACCAACAAACTCAGTTCACATTTCTTTAGTCAACAACTTCTCTCGAATAAAGTGACACTCAATCTCAATATGCTTAGTCCTCTCATGAAATACTGTGTTGGAAGCAATGTGAAGAGCAGCTTGATTATCACAATACATCTTCATAGATTGAATCTCACAGAAATTCAATTCTTGCAAGAATTGTTTTACCCAAACAAGTTCACAAGTAAGAGACGTCATTGCCCTATATTCAGCTTCAGCAGAGGATCGGGCAATAATGTTTTACTTTTTGCTTTTCCATGAAATGATATTACCTCCAAAGAAAACACAATAGTCTGTAGTGAAACGCCTATCCATGGGAGATGCAGCCCAGTCAGCATCACAGTACCCAAAAATTTGGGTATTTCCCTTATCTTCATATAATAAACCTTGTCCTGGAGCTTAATGTATCTTAAGATTTGAATGATAACATTTCAATGATCCACACAAGGAGCTTGCATAAATTGGTTGACAACACCAACTGCAAAAGACAAATCAGGTCTAGTAATAGTCAAATAAATAAGTTTTCCAACCATTCTTTTATATCTTTCTGGATCAGAGAAAACTTCACCCTGTCCTTCCATTAACTTCAAATTTGGATCCATAGGACTGTCCATAGGTTTGCAATCAATCATACCTATCTCTTTTAGAATATCTAGAGCATACTTCCTTTGAGAGATGACAATACCTTCTCTAGATTGAGCTACTTCAATACCCAAGAAATATTTTAGATTTCCAAGATCCTTGGTCTGAAAATGACTACACAAGTGCTCTTTTAGCTGAGATATTTTAGCAGCATCATTTCCTGTGATGATAATATCATCAACGTACACAATTAAATAAACATGTTTGCCAGGGGCAGTGTGACAATAAAACACTGAATGATCTACTTCGCTGCGTTTTAATCCAAAAGCTTGAACAATAGAGCTGAATTTTCCAAACCAAGCACGTGGAGACTGTTTTAGGTCATAGAGGGATCGACGTAATTTACAAACCAAACCAGACTCCTCCTGAGCAACAAATCCAGGAGGTTGCTCCATGTAAACTTCTTCTTCTAAGTCACAGTGTAAAAATGTATTTTTAATATCCAATTGATGAAGAGGCCAATCACGAATGGTGGCCATGGCAAGGAACAGGCAAACAATGGTCATTTTGGCTACAAGAGAAAAAGTATCACAATAATCAAGTCCATATATTTGAGAGTACCCTTTAGCCACTAACCTGGCTTTGAGACGATCAACCTGACCATTGGGCCCAACTTTAATAGCATAGATCCAATGACAACCAACTGTTTTCTTTCCCGAAGGGAGAGGAACAAACTCCCATGTTTTGATGTGATCAAGAGCCTGCATTTCAGAAATCATGGCTTGTAGCCATCCAAGATGATCAAGTGCTTCGACCACATTTTTGGGAATTGTAATAGAGGATACAAAGGAAATAAAAGAACAATAGGAAGAAGACAATCTATGATAACTAAAAAAATTGTAAATGGGATGAGGATTACGAGTAGAACGAGTACCTTTGCGAATGGCAATGGGCCAACTGGAGTCATCGTTATCAGGAGCCGTGGTATTAGAGGATGATGGAGAAGGACCTGTTATGGATGTCTCATCTTGGGGAATGGGATTGTTCACCTGGTTCCTGCATTGATAGGTGATGATAGGTTGTGATGATGAGTCTAGAGTATTTTGGTTGGGATTTGGGGTTTCAGGAATAGGAGGTACAAATGATTCAACTAAGGGAACAGGAAAAACATTTTGGACAGAATCAATATGCTGCATAGAATAAGGGAAGAAGGAGGATGATTCAAAAAAGGTGACATTAGCATATATGTAGTACCTCTTGGTTTCAGGAGAATAATACCGATATCCTTTTTGAAGACGAGAATACCCCAAAAGACACATTTGATAGCTCTAGGTGAGAGTTTATCTAAGCCAAGAGACATGTCATGAACAAAACATATACATCCAAATACCTTAGGAGAAACATGAAAAATTGGTTCCTTTGGAAATAGAATAGAGTGTGGAAATGTTTATTTTTTCATTCTGCTATGCCATTTTGCTGTGGTGTGTGAGGACACGTGGACTGGTGTAAAATACCTTGAGAATTTAGGACATTAGAAAAATACTCTTTGGCATTATCACTTCGTAAAACTTTGATTACTTTTCTAAATTGAGTTTTGATTTCATGAAGGAAAGACTTAAAGATAGGAAATAGTTCAGAACGATCTTTCATAAGATAAACCCAAGTATATCTAGAAAACCCATCAATAAAAGTACAAAATATCTAAAACCAAAAGATGAAACACGACTAGGTCCCCATATATCTGAATGAACAATACTAAAAGTAGAATCGCATCTAGATTCAGAATGATTTGGAAAGGAAGACCTGGTATGTTTTCCTTGTTGACAGGATTCACATTCAAAAGTTTGAAGGTTCTGAAGTTCAGGAACCATTTTTTTCAATTTTGCTAAATGAGGATGCCCTAATCGCTCATGTAACAGTTTTGGGGATAAGGATGCAACACAATATACAAATGACTTAGTCCTAAGGTAGTATAAGCCTCCAGATTCATGTCCTTCTCCAATCAGTCGACCCGTACCATGTTCCTGGATAACAAAACAATTGGCATTAAAGGTTACTGAGCAATTCAATGATTTGGTTAATTGGCTTACGAAAACAAGACTGAATGGAAAAGAAGGAACACAAAGAACATTTTGAAGGTTTAAAGAAGAAGAGATGGATACTTGACCAATTCCTTTAGAGGTTACTTTAAATCCATTAGCTAAAGATATGAGATGGGAGGTTTTAGGAAATGAAAGAGAGGAGAATAAAGAGGTATTACTAGACATGTGGTCAGAAGCAACTGAGTCAATAATCCACGGATTTTGACTTTCCACAGATTGTGAAATGCAAGCGGGTTGACGAATTTGGTGTTGTAGATGCTTGTGCCAATTGGTTGATTTCATCCTTAAATATTCTTGATACTCTTCAGGAGAGAACTTGGGCTCATCAACTTCAGATTTTGAGGTATTAGCTGCCTTATCAGGAAAGCCGTGCAGAGCAAAACAATTTTCCTTAGTATGTTCCATTCTTTTGCAATGAGAGCATTGAGGACGTCCTCTCCCACCACGTCCTCTATTGTTGTGATTACTTCTTCCACGAGCAGAAATCATGGCGGAAGAATCAGCAAGTTCTTGACTGTTTTTGCTTTTGATAGAAGGAATACGAAGTAGCCTTGTGATTAAACTCTCCGTAGAAGGAACTTCTTCTCCAGTTAGAATCTAGTCTCTAACATGATTAAATTCTGGATTCATAGCCCTAAGAATCATTATCATATAGAATTTATCCAGCTTCGTCTTTCTTTCCTCTAATGATTCTACCTCCAAAAACATTTTTAATTCTTCAACTGCTGATTGAGCTTTAGCAACAAAGGACATCATGGAATTATCCTCTTGCTTAAAAGATGCTAGTCTATTAGCAGAATCATAAAGTC